AGCTGTTATGATTGATATTTATTAAGGGAAAGGATATAAGTTCCCCCCAAAACAAGAGCAAATGAGAGCAAAAGAGTGGCCAGACACAGAAGCCTGTAGATGGACACCGTGCTGGCCAGACCAGTGTCGCTCAAGTTGCAAAACAGCTTTTTTGTTGGTGGTGCTGGTTTGTTTTGTTTTTTGTGAGTATGAGTATCTGTATGGGACATATGTGTGTAGTCATGGACATAGGGTGTGATTGTGGGGGTTAAGGCCAGAGCCTGTCTTCCTCAGTTTCTCTCCATTGTTTGCGCTTTATTTTTTTATTGTTGTAAAACAGTTTAATTCTTGCCTGATGGGGGAAGTCCTGTGTATATGTTGATGAATAAAGCACTGTTGGCCAATAGGGAAGCAAGATAGGTGGGACTAGGTGTTGAGGCGGATTCTGAAAAACAGAGGCACAGTGAGTCATAATGTAGGATTCGGGAAAAGTAACAGGTCCAGACCCTTTCTCTGGTAAGAGAAGATCACATGGAAATACTTAGATTAGCAGTTATGGGTTAATAACTAAGTCAGAGCTAGCCAATAAGAAACTAAAGCAAGGGCTGGAGAGATGGCTCAGAGGTTAAGAGCACTAGCTGCTCTTCCAGAGGTCCTGAGTTCAATTCCCAGCAACCACATGGTGGCTCACAACCATCTGTAATGAGATCTGGTGCCCTCTTCTGGCCTGTAGGCATACATGAAGTGCTGTATACATAATAAATAATTTTTTTAAAAATCTTTAAAAAATAAAAATAAAAAAAGAAACCAAAGCAAATGACCAACAGCATTATAATTAATATAGTGTCTCACGTGTTATTTGGGGGCTGAGGCAGCAGTGGGACCCAAGCGGCTGGCAGGAAGACTACACATTACACTTGCTAGGCAGTGGTGGTGAAAACCTTTAATCCCAACATTCAGGAGGCAGAGGCAGATAGTTCTCTGTGAGTTCAAGGCCAACCTGGTCTACAGAGCAAGTTCCAGGACAGCCAGGGCTACAAAGAGAAACCCTGTTTCAAAAAACAAACAAAACTGCTGACTTCTCCCTCAAATCCTGTCAGTTTTTTAAATATGCTTTTAATTGAAATAGAATTATATCACATTCCCCTCTTTCCTCCCTCCAGCCCCTCCCAGCTACCCTTCCTCAAACCCCCTCCCATGTCTCAACTCAACTATCAAGTTGATAGCCTATTTTCTTTGATGATGATTATTACTGTAACACACACACACACACACACATACACACACACACAGAGTCAGCCCTAAAACCACACACATACCAACAAAAATGAATTCATCAGGTTGTATTTTTATATTTGTACACACACAAATATTCTTCTTAGTTTTTGTTTTGGAGTCTTGGGGGTTGTTTGTTTGGAGTTTATTGGGGGGTTGTTTTTTTGTTTTTGTTGTTGTTGTTGAAATAAAGTTTCTGTGTATAGCCCTGGCTGTCTTTGAACTGGCTCTATAGACCAGGCTAGCCTCAAACTCAGAGATCTGCCTGACTCTGCCTCCTAAATTCTGGGATAAAGGCCTGTGCCACCACACCCAGCCATCCAGCTTATTTTTTAAGGCAGGGTCTCACAGCAGCTAGCAAGCCCTGAGGACACTCCTATCTGTGCCACCTCAGTGCGGGGTTATGGAGGCACACATTGTACCTGGCTTTTCTGGTGGGGACTGAGGATCCGATCTCAGGTCCCCAGCCCTTTATTTTGTGGTTTGATTATTTGTTTTGTTTCTTTTAATTATGAGATCAAATTCAAGGCCTTGAGCCTAGAAGACAATAAACAACACTGTCTGACGGATGTGTCATGGATGGGCCTAAATCAAAACACTGTGAGCCACTGCTTTTCCCTTGAGCCTTCTGCTCTGAAGGGCACGGCCAGTGCCCCACCCCCAACCCCGTGTGTGTGTGTGTGTGTGTGTGTGTGTGTGTGTGTGTGTGTGTGTGTGTGTGTGTGTGCGCGCGCGCGCGCGCGTGTGTGTTTCGCCAGGGATGGAGTTCAGGACTTTATACATGGTAGACAAGCACTCTTCTGCTGAACTATACCCATAGCCCATTTCCTTTTTTTCATTTTGCCCAGGCTAGCCTGAAACTCACTCTGTAGCCCTAAGAAGGCCCTTGAACCAGTCCCCCTGCCTGAGCCTCCTAAACAGCTGGAATTACAAGCCTGTGTCACCGGGCCCCGGCCGTATTTAACTGTACTGTTTTCAACTGTGGTGCAATACACACAAAACAACCATCTCAAACGCTCAGGGTGGAGCTTCTGCCCCTGCCCCGCCCATGTTCCTGTGAGCCAGTGTGCCAACTGCCAGCCGCTCATCTCTGCCTGAGGCTTCTCAAAGGCCCAGAAGACCAGCAGGCACACAGACAATCAACACCCCCAGCTCTCAACCAAACCCTGAGAGTCAAGACTGCCTAGTGTCCACTGTAGGGCTACTCCACATTTCAGATCTCTCTGCCTACCACGCCCCACTTTCCCGCAGAGTCAACCTCCTACCCTGTGCTGGGAGTTGGCTCCGTGGCACCCTTCTTTGGGCTGCCTGACCCTCTTGTCCTGCTTCCTCTGGCTCCCTTATCTGCTTTCTGGGGAAACTCCAAGCGCTGCCAGGGAGCCCCTGTGGAGGGGCGCATCGAGCCCAGGCTCAAGACCTAATGGGCACTACGGAACTCCTATACTGTGTCTATCAAGAAACAAAAACAGAACTGCCAGTGCCGACAGGAAGGTCACCCTTCTGGTCCAAAGCAAACGTCCATATCGAGAAAGAAAAAGCAGCTTGAGCTCTGAGGCCAAGGCAGGCTGCAGAACGTGACTGGGCACGTCGTTCTTGGGATAGGGATTCTCTGATAGAATGAGGAAGGCCAGCTCTACTTTGGCAGGGAAACCAGGCTCCCAAGCCTGTCATTTGCTGGGGATTCCAGAGTGCACCTTCCACAGAGGAACACTTTTGCAGAAATGTTAGGGTTTTTTTGTTTTGTTTTTCTGTTTTGAAAGTGGTGCTTGCTGCTGCTGTTTTGTGAGGCTGGAGGTTCCAGCATGGGGCACAGCTACTCTATAGCCTAGACCAAAGAGCTCTCTTCCTCTACCAACAAAGGTGTTCCCTTCTGCCCAGCATGCTGCTTCAGGCAGGACGCCCAGAGCAGTGAGGGAGGATGGGGACACCTGCCTGGTGACCAATAGCATGACAGGTGTTGCAGCCAGATCACCCTCACATGTGTGTTGTTTCTGTCGCCTGACTGGTCACGAAACAGTTTCATTTTAAACGTGCTGTATAGCAGAGGATGACCTTGAACTCCTGACCTGCGTGCCCACCTGGAATGACTGCCAGGTGCCATCACACTCAGCTAGATGGTTTTTCATCTGCCTTACTTCTACGAACATTTATTTCTCTACTGTGAGTTTGCATGTGTGACTTTCTGTATGTGTGAGAGAGAGAGAGAGAGAGAGAGAGAGAGAGAGAGAGAGAGAGAGAGAGAGAGAGAGAGAGAGAGAGAGAGAGAATAACTTGCAGGAATTGGTTTTCCTCCACTATACAACTCCCAAGAATTAAACTCAGGTTATCAGGCTTGGCAGCAAGCACCCTTGCACAATGAGCTTTCATGGCAGCCGCCCATCGGCCTTACTTCTGACAATCTGCCCTTGCTGCAGGCTCATTCGCCACCACAGGTGATAAGGAATACATGCAGAAGCCCCTTTACCCTTCCAGGGTGGCTGGAGTGATGTCCAGTTGAGGAGCTACATAAAGAGCATCTCGTGGTGACTGTAATCTCTCCCAGACCCAGGGAAGGGCCAAAAGCCACTGCCTGAGCCTGGGACTGAGCTGCTGTCCTCAGAAGCAGGGAGTGAGCAGGCACTGCCCTGTGGATTCTTATGAACAAAAGGCCCGTTCTTTAATGAGGTTTCCTAATTTAGGGCAGGAGAAAACTGTTGAGCTATTATTAGGCAACAAATGGGTCCCATTTAACTGCCCTACTTTTAAAAAGTAACTTCTTTTTTAAATTAAAGAATTCTTTTTAGCCAGGCAAGCCTATAATTTCAGCACTGAAGAGGCAGAGGCAGGAGGATCACCCTGAGTTTGAAGCTGGCTTTAGCTACATTGGGGGCGGGGAGCACTGCAGAACAGAAGAAAACTGTTTTTAAGCATCCAAGTTCTCGGGAACATTCAGTAAAGCCTCAAACATGATCCTGACTTTGATGGCCAAAGTGTAGATTTAGTAAACTGGAGTAAATGATGGAGGTTTTGTCCGGCTCTGACATCTGGATTGTGCTCTTGGAGATGGTGACTTGGGTGGTTTGGTTTGGTTTCTGTTTTGCATACTGAGGGCCTAACACAAGCTCGGCGACCTCTCTTCTACTGAGCAACTATGGACTGTTCACCCTCCCTTCCTCTGACTGGAGTCTCTTGGAGAAATAAGTTTAATGTCTCTTCTCCAAATACTTGGGATCAGCAGAACAAACTTTGGGACATTTTTGAGATTTTTTGGAAGACTTATATATGCACAATGGGCTATCTTTGGGATGAGACCCAAGTCTAAACACAAAACTCATTTACAGTTCATATACAGATTGTACACACGTGATCTGGATGTAATTTCATATTTTTTTTTTGGTTTTTCGAGACAGGGTTTCTCTGTGGCTTTGGAGGCTGTCCTGGAACTCACTTTGTAGACCAGGCTGGCCTCGAACTCACAGAGATCTGCCTGCCTCTGCCTCCCGAGTGCTGGGATTAAAGGCATGCGCCACCAACGCCCGGCTCATATATTATTGTGCCTGCATTTACCACAACCCATCACATAAGGTCAAAAGTGGAATTTTCCACATGTAAACTATATCATTCATGGCTCAAAGTTTTGGATGTTGGAACATTGAAGATTCCAAGTGTCCAGATGAAGGGTGTTCAGTTAAACGTCTGCATTTTATCCGTCTTTCCTTGATCCCTTGAGGTTTTTAGATATTGTTGGGAACCATGAGAGCTCCTACCTGCTGGGAATTCTCATTCGACTTCCATGTAGACCATGCTGCCTTCAGAAGAAGCAGGGACGTTGCCAATCTGCTATCTACAGGGGGAAGGGAACAATGTCTTCTACCAGTTCCAGATGCTAAGTCACTGTGTGTCATTGGAGACTTCCAGCTGAGTTCACAATACAACTCATAACTTGAAGAGGAAGTTCATGTGCACTAGAGGGCTGGCCGGGCACAGTGAAGGCTTTAAAAGCCACGCTCATGAAACAAGATGGGAAAATTCATCTGTCAGTTTTACAGCCTACAAAATTTGCAGTGTGTCTTGGATGCTCTTTAATGTTCCTTGCGAGGAAGATGAGCATAGACCCCGGGGGAGGTGCAGGATGCAGGGCTCTACCTACCTGCATGGAACATGTTTCCTCTCCACATTCACAAAGGGGTCCTTCAGGGAGGCAGGCACACCGGAGGCTCCGTCGGGCAGCTGATCCCAGTTCCTCCAGACCTCTATCGACACACCAAGGGAAGCCAACTGCATTTGACTCCAATTCACTTCTAAAGCCCTGGTGTGTGGGGGAATTTCCTTTCATGTTTATTCTAAAAAAGTGTGACCCCCAAAAGTTAGCATTGCCCTTGTGTGCAGTTTGACAATGGCCACGGAAACAACACAGAGTGTCCTATGAGGTGCTTTTTGTGACGTTCACTCCTCTTGCTGATAGTTCTCAACCCCAAAGCCTCTCATCTAACCCTGACCTTAATTGCCTTAAGCCTAGACAAGCCCCCAGAGGGACTATGAGAGACCGCCAAACGTCACAAACAAAACTGGGTGCTTGGAGGTGGGCAGACAGCAGAGAACTCCTGCTCTAGAGAGAGTGTGCCAACACCCATTCCACTGTCCACCCCTCTCCTTCCCCATGAAGATGGCGTTTTTAATTAGTTTAATTAAAACCCAGAGTCAGATATAGAGGGATATGCTGAGAGAGCAGAAAGAAGGAGCAAGTCGCCACCACACCTCACCTCCTTAGCATCTCAGCAGACAAGAGAGCGAGTTCCTGTTTCTCCCTGCGTATATCCTGTTGCTGCCCAGCTACCTCACTTCCTGTCTGTCTGTACAGCCCTCCAGACCTCTATGGTTAGCTGGTGGCACGCTCCATCCTCTGACCTTCAGACAGGCTTTATTTGTACAAGCAAGATATCACCATAACCCCATTTCTCTCAGCTAAGGCCTCACAACGCTGTTCCTTCTTGTGTTCTCTGACTGGGTGAAAGGAAGCAACATCTCTTAATATCACTTAATATTAATGCCTCCACCTTAATATTTGAGACAATGTCTCTCACTAAACCTGGAGCTCAACCAATTGCTAGACTGGCAAACTCTTAGGTTCTGTCCATCTCCCCAGGTCCGGCCCTAGAGTTGCACATATACACCACTGTGTCTGGCTTCCAAATGCGTGGGTACTTCAGATCCAAACTCAGATCCTTATTCTCATATGACAAGCACTTTACTGAGTCATCTCCTCTAGCTTGTTGGTTTTTTTTTTAATGTTCCGAGACAATGTTTTCCATCTGGTGCTGCATACCAGTGAACCCCAAAGGGCCACCCTTTTCTGCCTCCTCAGCACTGAGATTATAAGCACACACCGCCCACACCTGGCTTTTTCACAGGGGACCAGACGCAGGTGTTCTGGCTTACAAGGCAAGTACATTGACTGAGCTCTTTCCCCAGCACTTGGAGTTCTCTTTGACTTTAGTCAAACCACTGTCATTCATCCACGATGGCGAAGCTTCTGTTCCACCTGGTCCCGTGGTCCTTTAGTCCCAAATAAACACACAGAGGCTTGTATTAATCATAAACTGGCTGATGGCTCAGGCTTCTTATTGGCTAGCTCTCTCTTAATTATTAAGACATTTCTTGACGGGCATTGGTAGCGCACGCCTTTAATCCCAGCACTCGGGAGGCAGAGGCAGGTAGATCTCTGTGAGTTGGAGGCCAGCCTGGTCTACAGAGTGAGTTCCAGGACAGCCTCCAAACAATACAGAGAAACCCTGTCTCAAAAAAAAAAAAAAAAGAAGACATTTCTATTAAACTATGTATTGCCGAGAGGCTGTGCCTTACCCGTAATGCCCTGGTATGTTACTCCTTTGGCCACTACATAGTGTCTCTCTCAAAACTCACTCTGTCTCTCTTTTCCCAGAATTCTCCTAGTCTGCTAGCCCCACCTACACTTCCTGCCTGGCTACTGGACAATTAGTGTTTTATTCATCAGCCAATAGGAGACTCAACAGCACACAGGACATCCCCCATCACATCCACTTGATCCTTCCTGAGATGTCAAAGGACATTTGGATGCACACTGAGCGAGTTTAAGGGAATATTTTTGTCACATGGCGGCCCATGGCAATGATGCCCCCTGAGCTGGGATGTGGAAAGAGCACTTCCCAACCCTTCCCTAGTTCCACAGTTTTAGCTCTAACCTCCATTTCTGCCTGGAACACAGCCTGCTGGCCTGAAGGAAGACGGTTTCTATGTCAACTCGAGCTCCACCCTCTCTCATTCTCCTCACTCATCTACTGAAAAGCCATACTCCAGCTTGTTGCCCACCCTGTTTCAAACCCTTCAGCAGATCCCTCGTTGACTTCAAGGTAAAACCCAAAGCCCCTGACAAGGCTGATAGGATGCACAAGATCAATGCAACCTGGCCCCTGCTTCTCTCTCCAACTTCAACTAAATGTTCTAGGATCAATGCAGGAAACCTTACGCTGCCTATACAACATCGGGAGAGTCTCATAATCGCCCAGAGCATTGCCCACCCTGGCTCTTGTTTCATCGTTCATCTAGCCAATCCTACGTTTCTCCAGGACCTAACTCCTGCCTAGGTTCTTCCTCTCCCATCCTGAGCTGAGGCTAGCCATCTCGCTCCTGGGCTTAGCTGGGCAAACAGCCAGTCTGGTCAGGAGGTCTCAGTCAATGATTCAATCATTGTTTCACACCAGAAGGACCCTTCCTCTCATTCCCTGTGCAATTGATCGGAGTCAAAAGATGAAGCAAAGTGGTCCTTCAGCCTCCCTGAATAGTGAGTCCCTGAACAGTTTCCCACCTTTACCTCCCCAGGCAGCTCCAGATGCCGTCCCTGGCCTCTCTGCGGTTCCTCCTGTCCAACACTCCCTCCCCCCCTCTCCACTCGGTGAGCTGAGCTTCCCCAGCTAGAGCCTCGAGAGCAGGCTCTTTCGGCTGCTCCCTAACTACCCAACAGAGATACCATCTCTTTCCTTAGGAAGTGTTCCTGCCCAGTAAACAGAAACCAGGTCCAGAGCCAAACCCAGTCATCCTGAAAGGTATCTGGCCCTTCGGAAGGAAAAGGCTCTGTGTCCAGCCTTGGCTCCTGTCTCCTCCCAAGTTTCCTGACTCCTCCATGAACTTGGTGCAGCCTATATTAAAAAAAGAAAACGAAAACATGCTGAGTGTCATAGTTTGGGTTTCTATTGTTGCAAGGAAAACACCATGACCAAAGGGCAAGTTGGGGAGGAAAGGGTTTATTTGGTTTACACTTCAACATTGCTGTTCATCACTGAAGGAAGTTAGGAGAGGAACTCAAATAGGGCAGAATCATGGAGGCAGGAGCTGATACAGAGGCCATGGGGGAGAGCTGCTTACTGGCTTATGCATCATGGCTAGCTCAGCCTGCTTTCTTATAGAACCCAGACTTGTAGCCCAGAGATGGCACCACCCACCATAGGCTGGGCCCTCCCCCATTGATCACTAATTGAGAAAATGTGTTGCAGCTGCATCTCATGGAGGCATTTCCTCAACTGAGGCCCCTTCCTCTGATGACTCTGGCTTGTGTCAAGGTGACACACAAAACTAGTACGACTGATCTCTTGTGAACTTGACACACAAACACATCACTATTAAGCCACAACTCTTCCTTTCTTATTCATTCCCAAGATCTTAAAAAACATTAAAAGTCCCAGTGTTTACTACGAATTCAAACACATTAAAATTTTAGTTCCTTTAAAATAACCAATCTCTTTTAAAATCCAAAGTCTTTAAAATTTCAAGTCTCTTAACTAGACTTTAGTAAAATATGTTCTTAGTTCAAGAGAGAAGAATCAGGGCACGGTCACAATCAAAGCAAAACAAAATTCCAACCATCCATTATCTGGGATCCACTCTTGACTCCTCCAAAGGGGTTGGGCCCCTTCTCTGGCTCTGCCTTCTGCAGTACACACAGTTCAACTTTTTGGCTGGCTCCTCTCCACTGCTACTACTGTTCTTGGTGGTCATCCCATGATACTAGCATCTCCAAAACGCTGTGGTCTTCTGCTGCAACTGGGCTGCACTTTCACCAATAGCCTCTCATAGGTTCTGCTCATGGTGCCAAGCCTCAACTTCTCTGCATGACCCCTTCAGTCCAGGTCCTTCAACTGCCCCTGAGGCTGCACCTTCACAATGGCCTCTCCTGGCCTCTCACAGTGCCGAGCCTCAGCTGCTCTCCATGACCCCTTCATGCCTTCAAAACCAGTACCACCTGGGAGACTCTCGCACATTAGCAAGTCCAGCTGCCAGCATGAGGTACAACCTTGGCTGTCTTTGGAACACAGCTTCTCAGTGCTCTCAGGAAACACTTCCCAGATTTCACTAGCAATGCGGGTCTCTTCTTGTTTTGTTTTGTTTTGTTTTTTGTTTGTTTGTTTTGTTGTTGTTGTTTTTCGAGACAGGGTTTCCCTGTGGCTTTGGAGGCTGTCCTGGAACTCGCTTGGTAAACCAGGCTGGTCTCAAACTCACAGTGATCCGCCTGCCTCTGCCTCCCAAGTGCTGGGATTAAAGGCGTGTGCCACCAACGCCCGGTGCGGGTCTCTTCTTAATCACTGCTAATTTCTTAGCTCCAGCTAACCAGCATCAATTGTCCCAGTGATGTAAAAGTTTCACGTCAGTAGTTCTGGTCTCTTGTTAATCACTGCTGATTCTTCAGCCCCAGCTAACCAGAACCACAGAACTTAATTCAAAATAACAAATGGCCCTGATACAGTATTTAGACTTCCCTCTGAAACTTTGCAAGCCAGGCCTCCAACCTCTGCACTTCTCTCAGTATTCTTATCTTCCAAGTTCCCACAGAACATCCCGCTGAGGTCCCTCAACACTCAACGGCTTTTCTAGCCCAAAGTTCCAAAGTCCTTCCACAATCCTACCAAAAACTGGTCAGGTCTGCCATATCAGTACTCCACTACACTGGTATCAGTCTGTCTTAGTGAGGGTTTCTATTGCTATGATGAAAACATCATAACCAAAAGGCAAAGTTGGGTAGGAGAGGGTTTATTTGGCTGACACTTCAGCATTGCTGTTCATCACTGACGGAAGTCAGGGCAGGAACTCAAACAGGGCAGGATCCTGGAGGCAGGAGCTGGTGCAGAGAGGCCATGGAGAGGGGAGCTGATTACTGGCTTCACATGGCTTGCTCAACCCATCTTCTTGAAGACCCCTGGACCAGCACCCCAGGGATGGCACCACCCACCATGGGCTGGGCCCTCCCC